ACTCACTCCTTACAGTGGCTTTAGATAATATGAGGTAGTAGCATGTTTGTTAAATGCCACACCAGGACTTCTGCTTGAGTAAACAGAACACCAGAGCTTCCATCAAGCTTGCAGCTTTGCTTACTTGTCAACGAGAAATAGTTTTTTTGTTTAGTTCAATGCTTTCAAAATACAAATGACAGATAGCAAATAATCAAATAGATAACTCATAAAAACAGGGACAGGAATGTGTAAAATAATGACACATTCCAGCAGATGGTCAGAAAATCCAAATGAAAAGTAAAAGGAGACAATAGATGAGATATATTTACACTACATTCAACAGTTTAAGCACTTCATGACCAAATAAAATAAAATAAATCAGAAACAACAATGCTGTGTCATATCCCTGTATGTTGCCCATCAGCAGAGTTTGCAGGCAGGCCAACATGCACATGTGTGATTAGAGTCGACGGGCTCAAATAGGCGCCCGGGCATGAGATACAGGCTGCTGTCAGTCTGATGTTCTTCTGCCCATGTGTGTCAATGAGGATTGACAGTTTGTATGTTAGAGAAGGCCAATGCTGTTTGGTTTGTTGTGGCTTTTGGCCCCCAGGGCCCCCTCGCACCTTGGCTGAGCAACCACAGCCTTTTTTTCCCATCAGCTGATTGTTTTCTCCTTCTCTGCTCTGGCGAAGACATGACATGTTGAATCTGAAGAAATCCATTCATCCACCCATCCATCCACCCATCATCCATCCATCATCCACCCATCATCCATCCATCATCCATCCATCATCCATCCATCATCCATCCATCCACCAATCCATTCATCATCCATCCATCATCCATCCATCCACCAATCCATCCATCATCCATCCATCCACCAATCCATCATCATCCATCCATCATCCATCCATCCACCAATCCATCCATCATCCATCCATCATCCACCCATCATCCATCCATCATCCACCCATCATCCATCCATCATCCATCCATCATCCATCCATCATCCATCCATCCACCATCCATCCATCCATCCACCCATCATCCATCCATCCACCAATCCATCCATCATCCATCCATCATCCACCCATCATCCATCCATCACCCATCATCCATCCATCATCCATCCATCCACCAATCCATCCATCATCCACCCATCATCCATCCATCATCATCCACCATCCACCATCATCCATCCATCATCCACCCATCATCCATCCATCATCCAGCCACCATCCATCATCCATCCATCATCCATCCATCATCCATCCATCATCCAACCATCATCCATCATCATCCACCCATCATCCATCCATCCACCAATCCATCCATCCATCCACCAATCCATCCATCATCCATTCATCATCCACCCATCATCCATCCATCATCCACCCATCCATCCATCCATCCATCCACCATCCATCCATCTGATAACCAAACAAATTCCTAATTTCCTTCAGGTAATGCACCCAGAAAAGAAGACATGTGAAACCACTCCAGACAGTTTGGCTTCCACTTGGCTTTTAAGTGACAATTTCATGATTGCTCTGGGTATATCTTGTCCTATCTCTGTGTCATATCCATTTCCAGGATTAACTTCATTTGAGGCACTCTCTCTGCTAGCAGAACCTGCGTGACCACTGCCCTCTGAATATCCATTTAGCAGCATTTTTAAAGGCCTCAGTGCTAAAAGCGGTGGATTTGATTACAAAGTCTTTTTATTAGGTTTTTCCTAATGAGGGCAGTTAAACCGCTGTGATTCTCTTCTGCTGTCTTCACCAAACTATATTAACATGGGATCAGGAAGCCAAGATGGTTCAGGGTGCTATTTATAGCTGTCTGTATCAGAAAGTTAGTTGTTCAAATGGACCACTAACTCATGGTTTCAAAATGAGAATTACATTTGTACTGGTTGACTGTCTTTATTTGTGATATATAGCATAATATTTATTGATGTTTTTAAGACTGTTGTTGGAATTTCTTGGTTCTTTTATCATTTTAAAATACATCTGTAAATCTGATTTAGAAAAGTGAGAACATTAATTATGATTTTCATAATTAAAGCTGCAAATTACTAAGGCAGTAGTATTTAGGTTGAAGAGTAACTTAGCCCTTTGGATAAAGGTGAGAGATCTTCAGTAGTCCTGGTAGACTTGAAGGCTGTTTATGACACTGTAGATCACTCAGTCCTTTGTCAGCATCTTCAATCTTTCTGTTCAGAGGTGTCACCAGGATTTCTGGGCCCTATGAAAAGATATCACTGTTGGCCCCACCACCTTAGCCAAAACCATAGACCCCCCTCCATTACACTTATGACCAATTAAAAGCATTAAAGAATGAAAACATTGTCACACCCTGATAATTAGGGATCATTAACCACAAGACAGAAAGTGTGATAATTTCTCAACAACATTTTAAGTCATCCAATTTTTACAGACACAAAACATTTCACACATCAGCATATGTACAGGAAGGTATAAAGAGTACTCTTTTTATTATCTGCTAATCTTGTCTCAACTCACTCACCAAAGTTGATAGGGTTTATCCACTATCATCAAACCACTGCCCTGCCTTGCAGTATTGCCCTATTTTAGGTTTATTTAGTTCCTGTTATTTAGGGTAACTCAGAAGTGTGATCCAGTCAACAGTGGGAGATAGACAGGACATCCAATCCAAGGGTTTTGCTAACTTTTACAGGGAGTTTATTCGAAACTTCAGTCAGACAGCGACCCCTTCATATGCATTCACTTCTCTTTGTGTCAAGTTCCAGAGGACCCCCCAAACTGACTCTGACTTCTGCAAAAATTCAAGGCGGGTTTTACCACTGCCCCCTATTCCGACAACTTGACGCTCAGCTAAAATTTGTTTTTGAAGTAGATGCTTCAAACGAGGGAATCAGAGTTAACCCAGCAACAACAAGCTTCACCCCTAAACTGGAGTAAACACCTCAGTTGGGTTGATTACGCACAAAAGGAATTACAATCTGGGGAATCATGAACTGCTGGCAGTGAAGGTGGGGCTGGAGGAATAGAGACATTGGTTGGAGAAGGCAGAGCAACTGTAGTCTGTGCTGACCACAAGAACATTATACATGAAAACTGTCAAATGTCTCAACTCAAGGTAAACCAGGTGGGCCCTCTTCTTTAATAGATTAAATTAAATAATCTATTAAAGAGGTCACAGAGCTGCAGTTGGTATCCAAATTGTGAAAGGAGTTTTGCTGATAGCAGAAGAGACCCACCACCCTCATTGCAACCTTCCTGCGTCAAGCCTGTGAAGGAAAGGAAAGCTTGTTGGTCCCTGCCTCCATGTCTGTGTATTTAATCCTTATGTCTCCTTCCTCATGTTGCCAATTAATTGTGTGTTCCCTATGTTACTTGGTTCAAGCATTCTTTCTCGTGAGTTTATCTAGTGTTTGACCATTGCCTGCCTCTGTGACTACTGTCTTTTCACCTGGCCCCTTTAGATTTGTTTGTAACGCTGCCTTGATTACCCGTGTACCAACCTGGACTGTTAAAATAAACTCTGCCTTTTTACCACAACCTGCCTTGTGTGAACCTGAATTTTTGGGTCAATATATCTGTCTAGTTCTTTAAGTGCTTACTTGTAATGGTTTGTGTACTTTCCCATTCATAGGTCCTTCTTAGGTCCAGAAATCAGTGTGAGATAGAAACCCAAGCCACACAGGAAAAGCAGTTTTACTTTCCTATTTTTAACACTATAATGACAAATTATAAAAACATTGTGTTTAGTTCCGTCTTCCTTCATTGGGGCCTAAGTTGTCAGTCCCACGTTCTCCGCTACTACGACACCCATGCCCCATCTAAAAGGATTCTCAAGGTTCAGTTGTAGGTCTCTTGAACTCTTCTTTAGTCCCCTGGGTCAAGTCATCAGTATTCATAATGATAGAATCCACTGTTTTGGTGATGACACAGTTATATGAACACTTGCAATCCAAAAACAACAGCAGTCTAACTCAATTTACTATCTGCCTTTTTTGTATCGCTCCACTGAACTGGACCAATTAATCATATTGTTTGACACATCTAATTTGTGATATAAGCTAATCTTCAAACTTGGACCCCTTTCATATGCGTCTTCATTTGTGATCCTGCCGAGCAACGCTCTCCTAAAATGTCTCGTCTCCTTTTTTATTGCACTTTATCCTGGGAATACCGGTTGCTGTATTTTGTGTCACTTCTAAATGTTTCAGTATGAAACAGTACATTCTGCTCCTGTTATTTCCATTTCCATCTATATTAAAAAGGAAATAATCTTCAGAAAAGGTAAAGGGGTAATAATGGATTTGAAGTGTCTAAAAATGTAAATTCTGGTTGGCGTTTTTTGTTTTGGATTTTGAAAATTTCAAAAAAATCAGAGAATCAAAAAAGACCAAGTACTTTGAGTTTTCTGTTGTATCACTACACTGATTTACACAAGTCTTACATAAAGATGTAAGGATTACATAAAGATGACTGCAGGAAACTTGAAGGTGTTTTATTTGATTCTGGTTGTTGTTTTGATGATCAAGTTAAGAGCAATGTTACCCCTTCTTAACACTGATTCCTACTGTCTAAAATGATCATTTCAAATTCAAATGGTTCATGGTGAGCTCTTCCTGACACATCACTATCAAGTCTTGATACACGATAATTATCTAATCAGCTTTTACCTGTTTGAATAATTCTGCTGCGGTTAATTCTGAAGTAAAAGTGGTTTTTACTCATGCATGAAAAAAGTTCAGTCCGAGAACCCTATCTTACTGTTTTGTAGTGAATTAATTGATTTGATCCTTTATAACACAGAAGATATCTAAATCAGCTTTGTAGCTGAAAGTCTTTTCGAGGCTGTTGTGTTATGCCTCACCACTAACAGGTACCCTCAGCCTCAGCTCCACCCACTCCTCCACCCGGCCTGTCTGTTATCATCACAGGGGAAACATCCTCCTCTGTGTGGAGCTGCTTCTCTGGCTGACTTTTCACAGTCCGATGCCCCAACAGGACTCAGCGGTCATGGCCGGCAGTCTGACCCACCACGGCTCCCCGAACCCGGGATACACCGCCAATAACAACGCGGTTCCGGTCCCGGTCCCGGTCCCAGCCCCGGCACTGGCACCGGCGCCAGTCCTTACTCAGACCAACTCTAGGGATAAGTGGAGCAAAAAGATGGATTTTCTCCTCTCTGTAATTGGCTTTGCAGTGGACCTGGGAAATGTTTGGAGATTTCCCTACGTTTGCTATCAAAACGGTGGCGGTAAGTGATTATACTTTTTTTCATTCAAATTCAAATCATTTCTGAGTGGAGCCACATTGGCAATCACTTTCTCAATCGGCTAATGTCAGCATTTAGTGATACGAAAAAACAGGCTGATGTTACGCATCTGGCAGCAGGAACTGTCCATGGTGCTGAACTACACATCTGTAGCCGTCACAAAAAGAGCACATTTGAAAGTTGTAGTTTTACTTTTCCAATCTGTTAGGTCACCTTTTGTTTTATTCCATATCTTACGATAACTTTTTTAGAGGAAATAACGCTTTTACATAAAAATTGGTTTTGTCATAATTATTATTTTTTTTCCCAATAAACACATGGATTCGTCGTTATATAATGTAGCGGGTATTATTGTGGGAATAGGTTTCGCTTTTTACAGTATAGGCCTTAAAAGCAGCATCTAAGGGTCTGTTTAATTACTGTATAAAGACAAGATAAAAAAAAGTTGATTAAAACACTTGAAAAGGCGTTAATAGATAATTAAAAACGAAATTAAAAGACGTTTATGTGGAAATTTTGTTAGATGATTTTCTTTTTGTACATAGTAGGCCTACGTGTTGCAGAACGCACTTAAATTACTTTTTCAACACTTATTTAAAAACATCTTCTTTTTCATGATAAAAATCAAGTGGAAAATTTGCTTCTGATAATTTCCCTCTATGAAAAGTATTTTAATTTATTTAAATAGCCTCTCAAGTCTTCTTGTTTTGAATGCCCTCATAACAATAAGGAATGTCCTCACTTTGTAATTGCACATGAGGAAGCTGTAATAGTACACTTTCATCTTTAAGCCTTACATGACATGTATCCTCTTGGATCTGTGTGCAGGTGCTTTTCTTATTCCATACATTTTGATGGCCATCTTTGGTGGTGTGCCACTTTTTTACATGGAGCTGGCACTGGGACAGTTCCATCGCACTGGAGCCATTTCTATATGGAAACACATTTGTCCCATTTTCAAAGGTAAGGCCCCAAACTGCTCAATGGCAGATGTTCAGATGAAATGTGTGACTAAAAACATCCAAGTACTATGATAAAAGTTATTTTTTTTTAATCTCTTCTCCTTCTCTGGTTTTCAGGTATAGGATATGCCATTTGTATCATCGCTCTGTATGTGTCCTTCTACTACAACACCATCATCGCCTGGGCCCTCTTCTACTTCTACTCCTCTTTCTCCAGCATCCTGCCTTGGACAAACTGTGACAATGTGTGGAACACCCCTGACTGCACCAACTACTTTGGCATCGACAACGTCACTTGGACCAATGCCTCCAGGTCTCCGGCAGAGGAATTTTACACGTAAGTGCATGTAAGTGTGAGTAACAGAAACCACATGTATAAATAGCTTTACAGTAATACTCGAAAATAGATTTAGGGACAGGTTGTCTGTTGTGCTGAAAATAGCTGATGTGTATTTTATTGTTACAGGAGGAATGTTCTGGAGATCCACAAGTCGTCAGGTCTTAAAAATGTTGGGGGTGTTCGCTGGCAGTTGATGCTCTGCCTTTTCCTCATATTCACCATTGTTTACTTTAGCCTGTGGAAGGGCGTGAAGACTTCAGGGAAGGTAACACATTTGTTATTATACTACCATAAAAATATAGATTTGTGGATTTTTTATTAACTTTAACGACATATGATCCCCCAGAATCGGTTCCTGATATGACTGATTTATTTCCTTTAATCCACACCAGGTCGTGTGGGTTACAGCCACCTTGCCCTACATAGTGCTTTTCATCCTTCTTATTAGAGGAGCCACCCTGCCCGGTGCCTGGAGAGGAGTGGTGTTTTACCTGAAACCACAGTGGGGGAAGCTACTGGACACTACTGTGAGTTGTAAAGTTGTGCGTTTATGGTGTGACAGAAAAGGACTCGATGTAGTCATCTCCTACAAAATAAATATGACTCCCTTTTCGTATGCTGTTTGTTCCATACATTTAAATGAACCTGTTATTTAATCTTTTATCAGATATTTTTTCAAGCCATGTTTCATCAGTTACTCTTTATACTCTTATGTAGATGCATTCTTTTGTCCAGAAATATAGAATTTGCTCTATTTCACAGCATATAGCTTCTCTTAAGGTCTTTCACTTTGGCAGAACCAAAGATCATTATTGAGCGTTTCCTCACTATAATCCCTGTCCATCTCTGGTGCAAAGAACACATATAGGTGTTTACATGTACACCTACACTTTTTTCTATTTATTAGTTCCTTGAGAACCTGTCAATGATTTTTTAATCGAGGAAACATCCTCATCTTCTACTGAGGTAGTTCGCTCAACATGTGTGAGTGCTTTCGTTGCAGGAGAATATGGATGAGATGAAATGAGATGCATAAATAAGCCACAGAGCAGGATAATAAGATGCATAATTGGTTTAGATTTTCTGCCCATTAACAAAGGCCTCCCTTTCTATCTCACTCACCGATATCCAACGCTGCCCTCCTCTTTTTACAGCCGAATGCTCGCTGCCCTTTAGATCTCCCTGTGTACAGCTGTGCAGCTACTACATTACTATACGACTGACACAACACCTCTCTGCTGGGTGAATTAAACACTGAGAGATCAGAAGAGAAATAAAGAACTTACAAATTCTGAGAATATAGTGACAATAAACCACAGGAAGGAAATCACAGGCAAAAATGTGCTCTATTCTGTGAACAAATACATTGTTAAATGGCCAAAACAACCTGAATCATCCAGTAATTGTAACAATTAGGAGTCCCAGAAAGTTCACCGTCTATTTTGTCTCTTTCTCTTTCTTTTCCAGGTGTGGGTTGATGCAGCAGCTCAGATCTTCTTTTCTCTGGGACCGGGCTTTGGGGTGCTGCTGGCCCTGTCCAGCTACAACCCTTTCACAAATAACTGCTATCGGTAAGAACTGAGACAAGCTGAGTAAACGTGAACACACATTTGTGGCTTGAATGCAGCTTCATAGGCAGAAGCCGAGCGTCAAAATAAAAGGCTTGAACCTTTGTACAGTACTTGCACTCTGTATGATAAGAAAATAATTCAGACGCTTAATTTAAGGATCTATTTTAATGCCTTTTTGCACAGAACATGTTTAAATCTTAAACAGCAGCTATAGGAATTTTGAAGCTTTTAATCAATATAACATAGTGTGTTCGTGGAAGAAGAAAGGATTACATGTCAAATGTCAAATGTCAAAAAACCTACATGGTGGGTCGACACATTTTAAAATAAGGCTAAGAAACATTGTGTTCCTTGATGTAAAATGAAATAATTACATAACAAAAAGACAACTGATAATGTTGTAAGTTCTGAGTTTAACACTGATGTCCATTGACTTGCTTAAAATGAATCATGGCATCTTCTGTGGAGCTTTCTAGAGATAAAAGACTTTCTGGCATTTGAATCATTTTGCAGATTGAATTGTATGTGTCTTATGGACAGAAAACATACATTCTTCAGCAGAGTATCCCTCATTAGCGTCTTCTCAAGATATCTCTGGTTGCTGGCATGGAGTATCTTTATGTGTCCCACACAAAGCTGAAGAGATAATATAAGGGAAGCCATTCAACAGAGGTCACAGAGGTCAAAAAGGAAAAAGGAATACCCCTGAGGAAATATCACTGATAAAAAGAAAAATGTTAATAAAAGAAGTAGAAAAGGCAATAGGAATGAGAATTATTGTACCACATGTTCTTGAACAGGCATTCATTTTTCCACAGTGACGCCATTGTGACCAGTTTGGTGAACTGTCTGACCAGCTTTGTGTCGGGGTTCGTGATCTTCACTGTGCTGGGCTACATGGCGGAGATGAGGCAGGTGGAGGTAGAGGAGGTAGCCAGGGATAAAGGTCAGTAAATTAGTTTAACATTTATAATAATAATACTTTGTCCTCGACCCATCAGTTGTAGGTGTGAGTCCCGGCCACGACCCTTTGTTGCACGTCATTCCCACATTTCCTGTCTCTCTTCACCACATTCCCTGTCTAGGATTCTAATGATTCTCTAATGAAATTAAACTCAACCTCCTTCATTCAATATCTCTATGTTATCAGGACCAAGTCTGCTCTTCATCACCTACCCAGAAGCCATTGCAAACATGATGGGCTCAACCTTCTTTGCCATCATCTTTTTTACGATGATGATTACACTGGGACTGGACAGCACGGTACGAACTGTGTGAACTCTGGTTGCCTTGTATACATGAGAGCCACAGGAGCAACTCTATGTAGCTCAGTGAAGGAAGCTGAAAACATATCTGATTGTAAACCTGTTATGTAGATTATTTTATTGTTATATTCGAAAGTTATGATTTAGAAGCTGCAAAGTCTGCCATAACAACATTTTATCTTGTTAGTAGCTTTTACAATACCAAAAACATGTTTGTTGTTTTCAAGCTTGAATTGCATTTACGTTTAATTTATTTCTTGGTTGTATTTATCTTTTTTTCAATTTTTTCCCCTTTTTTATTTATTCCATAACGCAAATGTAGGCCTGGATTCAATGCTGCAGTGAGGTTAAATGCACTGAAATGTTAGCTGACAATGACAATCCAAATTCACTGAATGGCGAATGTAAAGGCTCCTATGACATACTACATGTTGTTGTATTTCTTTGTGTGTTTCAGTTTGGTGGGCTGGAGGCGATCATCACTGCCGTGTTGGATGAATACCCAGATCTTTTGTCAAACAGACGTGAACTTTTTGTACTGGGCTTGGTAATTGTCTGCTTTGTGGGCTCTCTAAGCACCCTTACAAATGTAAGTTTATCACTGTTTATGTTACTCAACCTAAAAGATCAAAAAGTCAATCCATTTATATCATAATGAAGTCATATTTCCTGTTAGTTTAAGGCAGGTCGAGATACATTGTAGTTAAGTTACAGGCTGCTAGCAAAGAGGAAAATTCATAAAAATGTTGTTAATCAGTGAAGAATGTCACTGACAGGGTGGTGCCTATGTGGTGAAACTGCTGGAGGAATTTGGAGTTGGAAGCTCCATCATAGCTGTGGGTTTCCTTGAGGCCATAGCAGTGTCCTGGTTCTATGGTAAACGAGAGATTCTTTTTTTTTTGATCAATTGACCAGTATTCAGTTAGTTTTATCTGCATTGAGAAAATAACTGTCTTTTGTTGATTTATGTGGGTTTCAGGTATCAACAGGTTTAGCAATGATGTCAAGGCTATGCTGGGTAAAGCTCCGGGGTTGTTCTGGAGGGTGTGCTGGGTCGCCATCAGTCCAGCATTTCTAGCAGTAAGATGTTGAACATTCCAACTACATTAGCAATAACAGGGAAACGTTTACTATAAGATTATACAACAAACACAAGTTCTTTATCAAAGATAAAAGACCCTCATCCATTTAAGTCATAGAGATCCATTGCAGGGTAAGATCTAAAGACGACATAAACAAGCTCACCTAACAGCTATAACAGCTGTCTGGTTGTTGACATTTAACATTATTACACTTTCATTTATTCCTTTATATATTTATCTTATAATCCATGGAGATCTGACAGAAATATTTCCTTTGTGTTATAGTACAACAGTTGCATTTACATGGAAATGAAATGGAATTTACAAGCATGAATAAGCTATGTATTTAAACTCTCCTCAGTATATAATAGTGAGCTCCCTGCTGAAGGCACCGCCCCTCACACTGTTTGACTATAAGTACCCAGACTGGAGCATCACAGTGGGATACATCGTGGGCTTCTCATCCTTCATGTGGATCCCCATCTACATGGTCTACAAGCTGGTGTGGACTCCTGGATCTCTCAAACAGGCCAGTCGATTTGGAGATAGAGCAAAAAACAATCCAAATGCTATAAACATGAACTTCTTTATACGACTTCTTTTAGAATAACCTCTTCTATTATTTTTCTTCTTCTACTTCTTTTTCTTCTTCTTCCTCTCTTGGTTTTGCACAGAGGTTGGCAGTGTGTCTAAGACCAGAAAGGACCATACCAGACATCCATGCGGACAACCTCACCATGGTTACGGTACCATAGAGGGAAAAGCACCTTAACGCATGAAAACCACACTCGACTACTCCCCTGCTAGAAGTTTAGTTTTTTCTTTCAGCCCTCAGCTTCAAGTGATTTGTGACACAACCTGACAGTCGTCTGACATCATGACTGTTACCTGCTTACAATGTTAAACATGTCAGCTGTTAAAGCACATGTACACTCTGTAAAAATAGTAAATGCTGCTACATTTTTTACCCCAAGAGGAGCTGACATAGCAATACTCACACCTTACTGTTTGGTCTGTGTATTTAAATCTACAGTGCATGTGTCACCAGACAGTATGTAGCCTTTATATGATCCCATGATTCATATTTTATTTTGATACAATTGTAGGAGTCACATTTGTTTAATACGTTGCTTCTTTCCCCTTCAAGAACAACATGCCAAGGAAAATAAAAACATATTTCTTTATGTAACAGACAGCACATCTTTTCTACCGCATGGGGCCGTTTTCAATGTTAAGTTCTTCTTGTCTGTAGTTTTATCAAAGTTGGATAATATCAGCTCTGCATGCTTTTCTATACTGACGATGGAACAAAATAGTTTCCTGTGGAGAAGCAGATGAGTTAACACAGAGTAAAACCACTACAATAACCGTGGCAGCATTGATTTGCATGCATTTGTTTGTATTTTATTAAGTGGACTTTTTATTCATTCGCTGAACAACGTGCTCTGCAGTCAGTTATTGCTTTTGAAAGCAGGTGTTACGAGCTCTGCTGCATTTTGGTGGAAGAACAGGTATATGTGTGGACTGAAACATTGACATCAGTGGGACCAAACCGTGATCAGTTTGGTATTAAAGAATAATCCTAATCTTAGTTATTATCCTTTAATTTTTGCAGATGCTGTTTTTAGTCTTTACACAGTGGCTTTGTAGTACTGTGATTGTTTTGGATTTTATGGCAGCTTCTTGATATATTTGCAATAAAAAAAAGTGTTCTCCCTTCAAGTGTTTGCATCTGAGTTTAGTGAGGCCATCGAACAAAGATCACACCAGTTCATATTTGAAAGGTGTGGAATTATTTGTGTTGTTTTTTTCTATGGGCATTACAGAGTCTGTATCCTTAAAGATGCATTTCTACAACTTCATTTGTCATTTCAATTCAAATTAAACTATTTCGTCTTCATGTGATGGCTTCATTTAACTCCAGAACGCTTGTTTTGCCTTAATCTGCTTAAATATCGCACTGTCTGTAAAAAAATACTGTAAAGGTTGTATTGATATTTTGCCTCTCCACTTAAAGACTGTTCACGTTGATTTGCTCACATCACTTGTGTCTTTGCCATCTGTGTTACACTTATCTTCAATAGCTTTATATTTTATCCTATAAAAAGAAACATGAGTAGGATGATGATTATTATGTGATTTCATTTCTCTTCAACCTGGTTTCTGTAACAGATGTGTATACATGAATTATAGTATATGTTACATATTTTATCTTTGTGTTATTTTCATTCCTGGAAATTAAAGGTGAACATGAACAAACAAACAAATCAACCTGCATTATTTCAGGCATTTATATTCCACCATGTATATTAAAGCAGGGAGTATTTGTCTGAAATCGTAAGTAGGATACCTTACGTGAGATTTGTTCCTGTAAATTTCCATATGCTGATCTTTGGTTCTTTGTAATGGCTGCTGGCTGTTGCTGCTCACCTCTATTAGATATTCTAATTAACAAGCTGATTTGCAATATCTAGAATCCATCAACATTCAATGGGATAGTGCGGCATCTACCTACAAAAAACACTCACAAACACTTACATGATTCTCACTAACGGCGCCCTTCAGATCTTTACTCGTTCAAAAGATTTTTTTTATTCTTGGGCGAGCCCAGCCCGATCTCTTTAAGGACGACAGGTATGAAGCCATACAGGAGCAGAGAGTGGATGGAACATGCGATTCCCCATTGAGATGCTGGTTGGTGGACGTGCAGATCAAAGCCCTTTTGTGTCACTGACGGCTATTGAAGTAGAGAACAGGAGAGCACAGGAGACACATAAAAGAGACACTGCAAAACACAAGCTCCTTTTCTATCTGACAGGACTCTATTGGAAAAAGAATGACTGCAAAGATATTGTGGTATGAATGAATTTGTTGCATGTCATAACATATAAATCAGTCACTTAAGTACAAAGGACAGGCACATTAAAGGGGAACATTCAGGTTCTATTTAGTAAGTGTTCAAACCTTAATTTGATTTGACTTGACTTGATTTTTGGAAGAACATCTGTCTATATTTTCTGTCTTAAGATTGTTTTCAGTTAAACTTACAAGTAAACCTGTTGGTCATTTTGTATTGAATGTTTCCTCCTTTATCTTCACTCATATCAGAGATCAAACATACACATGTGCCAAAAGCCCTGTTCAATTTATGTTTTTTCTCTTGTGAAAATTCAGGCCTCAATTTTCACAAAGGCAGCTGTTTCTACCATGGAGTATCCCCCTTAAACATATCTCTGTGCATTTTCTTGTTATGTTGCAAAATGTAATAATGTTAAACATGTCATATTAACATGATGACGTAGAATTGTAACTAAATCACAGCCTGATACTGAGTCAAAGATCTGCCAGTATCAGCTTGTTGCAAATAGAAATCAGCATTGGTTGCTGAATGGTAATACACATTTGATTGGAATAAAAATCCCCCCAAAAAGGGCTGTGTGTTAAAGTTTAAATACAGTTACTGTCCATTTACAGCTGTGACTAGATAAAGAATTAATTTGTGTGACATGATGTAATGTTAGTTGTTATATAATGTTCCATTATAATAACGCTAATGACTGTGTTCAGAATCAACAGGAACAGATAATAAAGCTGACACTCAGAGAACCATGCTCACAATAATCAAATGACCAGAAGGAAGGCATTTTGCTTATTCAAATCTAGTATACATAATTGCTTTCTAAGGTAATGCAATTTAAAATAAAAATGATTAAAAATAGGAGCTTTGAGTTCATGCTGTAATAAAATATGATTTTGTTGTGATTAATTTTTCTAGGAGGCTTCAAAGTTTTAATTTCAAGCCACCGTGATTGACATTTCCAAACACTCATTAAGCTTCTCTAGCAAATAATTAAGAGCAATAAGTGTAATGGTGTGCACTCTTAAGTTCTACAGTGTATGAAGGTAAAGGCCAAATACATCAGTCATGCCGAGTAATTACATAAGGATATAACCCCAAGGAGCTTGACCTTTATATCTATTCTTCATTGCTCTTTGACATTTCAGAAATGGGAAATGTGATGGCGGTTTCACACTTGTTTGATGGTTACCAGTAAGAGAGAAAATATTGTATACAGTTTGGATTCTGACAGTCGAACTACCTGAAAAAACCTGCAGTCAGGGCTTCAGGTAGGTTCTTGCAATGTATTTCAATATACCTTCAATTTCAACTCCAACAGTAGCTCTGGAGTTGAAATGATCAATCATTTGTTTATTGAAAAAAAAAATCATAAACACTTTAGAAATCATTGAAACCTTTTTTTTTCAAAAAATGACTTAAAGGAGCAGTGTGATTATTGTAACCTATTGCAACCTACTGAACACAGCTTCCAGCCCTCTCAGTGGGAATAAACCTACACTGGCTGTTTTTAAATAAATGTGAAAAACCAAACTTAGAGCTGTGTTTGAGCTGACCAATCTGGACAACTCATAGACTGTAAATAACTACAGAAACTACTTGGTTCATGGCGGGATTAGGGCACGATTTGCAGCGTTTATTTTTGCAGTTGTTTTCTGAATATTTGTGTTTTTTTTCACTTGGTATGGTCGATGTAATCACAGTGCTTTAAATGCAGTAGTTTAATCTTTTTGCTGCATGTTTTATTTTTTTTTACTTTTACATATGCCTTTTTGCATCATTTCCGAATATGCTGCACATTTTTGTTAATGTAAGTCATTTTCGCCACTGTAAGTGACAATAAGCAAATATGTAGCAGCTTCTTCTCCTATAAACGGCCATGCCTTTATTCCATTTTAAAGAGCGACTTGTACAAAAATTCCTCTAGGCTATAAAATTGTTGTTAATGGAGAAATTAGAAGAAAAAAAAAAGTTATTTTATTTATTTATTTTTTCTTACCAGGCTGTCTATGCCCATTTGCCTACTGCTATGCCTCCCTCTATTAAGTTGGGCATTTTGGTAATGTATCTGTGAGAAATGACTCACTTTTAGAACAAGCCTCAAGAGGCCATTTGAGGAAATCCATGCATCCTGTTCTGAAGCACAAACACAACAAATCTTACTTTCAGGGTATTACACTTATCAAATCAAATGCTTATGAATATAATCTTCAATTTCAAATTTCTACCTTAAAATCTGTTCGAAGTCTCAATTGGTGCACTGGCCCTTTAAATGCTTCAATCAACAACCCACGCAGTAGCCTCATAGACGGTGAGTACCATTCATATCGACTTAGGGCGAGCATGGTGAGCACCCAATGGTTTAGGACCCGGATCCAGGCCGGAAGAAGCATAACAAGAAGCGGCTCGTCGTCGTCAACCAGATCATCACTCGCCCAGCATCATCACAGTTATCAGCATCATCCTCCTCTACCTCTGAGGTAGGCGCCATCTCCGGGTCCAGCCTTAAATATTACATCGATGCTGCACCGTCATGATGTCTTATCTCAGCCCACCAGCTCTAATAATGTGTTTCAGTGTGTTAGTTACCGGGCAAACAGCGGACTCCGTATCAAATGAGAGGCCTTATGTGGTCCTACAGAAGCAGAATTTAGGTAAGACTGGATTGACACTAAGTTGAGGCCTGGTTGCGTGTGATGATCGCCCCACTATAAGGTGTTTATGGACTAATACATGGACTATATGTTTTAGTTAAAGAGTGACACACACCTGTTATTTACATAGGAGCCTTAAAGCATATCATAACAGTTCATCCATGATTGCATTCAGCCAGTTTGTTTTGCTAATGTCCTCTCTCCTTGTGTTTTGTCCTTACAGTCACTCTGGGGAGTGTCCTCGCAGTGCTGCTGGTGTTGATGCTGATCATGGCTGTGTGTGTTTACAAACCGCTGTCCCGTCGGTGAAAACGGGCCTGAACAAACAGATGGGAGAACAAACCTGCTGTCCGCCCGGGCTAAGTGACACTGCACATGTGGCCAGCCCTTGCCACACAGCACACCGAGGAGTTCAGCCCTGGGTCAGTAGATAGGCTATCCAAGCTTAGGCTATGATTAACTGAAAATACCCAGACTGCAGTAGCTGGCTCTGCAAGGAAATCAGGTCTTTAACTTTAAGCCCTATACTAAATCAACTATCTTTTGTATTTATTTTAATGTAAACAAAAATACAAATTCTGATTTTGAATCACGATGGCAACAAGATTGCAATATCTGAGTGACTTTCAAAGAGGCCCTGCTCAACTGGGTTAAATCTGATCCATGGGAAAGACTTC